TTCCCGTACAGGGCTTTCCGGCCAGATTTCTAGGCCAGCACCCGATAGCGGTAGCTGGACTCCATCAGGTCACCCTCTTCGAAGCGGGTGAACCGGAGCGGTGAAATGTCGATGGTGGTCGATTCCCCCTGGGCGACCAGCTCGGCCATACTCAGGCCGATCATGGGGGACAGCTTGAACCCGTGCCCACTGAATCCGATGGCGCAATGCAACCCTTCTACACCGGGGGTGCGGTCCAGGATCGGGTGCCAGTCGGGGGTGGTGGTGAACAGGCCGGCCCATCCACCCCGGAAGTAGGCATCGCTCATCGCGGGGATGCGACGGGCCAGCTTCTCCTTTGCCACGGCCATGTCATCCAGACCGGCAAGCTGGTTGTAGGTCTCCACATCGGCCTCCTCGTCGTCGCCAAAGCCCATAAGGGTCATGCGCGGCCCATCGGGCCGGAATGAGAAGGACTGCGAGATGTCACCGACGGCGGGGTGCAGCGGCAGCCGGTCCACTGGCCGCGCGAGGGACGCCACCTGATGGCGCACCGTAACGAGAGGGACATCGACTTCGACCTTGGCCAGCTCGCCTTTTGACCACGGGCCGGTGGCAACCACCACGGCAGGCGTCTCAATGCGGCCCTGCGACGTGTTGACGGCGCGGACGCGGCCGTCTACGACGTCGATACCGGTAGACTGCACGCCCAGGTGTATCTCGGCGCCCAGACTCCGGGCGGCGTTCGCGTAGGACGAGGTGACCAAGTAGGGATCGGCGTAGCCGGACTGCGGCTCCCACCCCATCGCCTCATCCTCGGTTACGGAGACCATGGGCGCGATATCGGCCAGATCGGCGGCGGTCACCACCATGGTGTCAATGCCCAAGCCGGCCTGCATGGCGCAGTTGTGTTCCAGGCCGGGGCGGTCCTCTTCCTTGACCACCACCAGGTAACCCGTCTCGGTGAAACCAGACGGCCCTCCGACCACGTCCTCAAAATGGGTGAACACCTTGAGGCTCTCCCACGCCATGGTGGCCGTCACCGGGTTGGAATAGTGCATCCGGCAGATGGACTGGCTGCGACCAGTGGAGCCGCCGTTCAGGATGTCCTTTTCCAGCAGCACGGTGTTGGTTATTCCCAGCCTGGCGAGGGTTGAAAAGGATGCTGCACCCCATGACTCCGCCGCCGATGACCACCACGTCCGCAGTTGACCTCATGCCCTTTCCTCCTGTTGATTCCGCCGGGACATCTTGGCGTATGTTCCTGCAACCAATCTTACGTTACCGGGCAGCGGAGACGGAGGCAAGCCCGCGTTTAGGCTGACCACGAAGTCAGCTTTGCTCGAGGGCCACACTAGACCCCTGGACTCCAACAGGCCATCTACCCCACACAGACTTGAACCAGTCCTCTGGACCAGGATCTGCCTGCGCCTTGCTCTGGATTCAGCACCTATCTGCAAATTGTCATTGTCCAACGAATTGAGGTGTGATACCGTCTTGCGTTTAAGTTCACAAGGGAGGGGCCTTGTGCAGAAGGAAACGCGCCCGACCATCCTCATATTAGTCCTTGGCCTGGTAGTCCTCTTTGCGTTGGCGTACCTGTTCTACCAGTCTGGCAAGGTGGATATGCCAGAAGCGTATGCCACCGCCACAGCCGTGCTATCCTCGCCGACGGGTGAGACCGTTGGCAAGGTAGTCTTCCAGGAATCTCCAAAGGGCGTGCTGATCATGGCAGAGGCACGGGGCCTCTCTCCGGGGGGGCACGCGCTCCACATACACCGGGTGGGGACTTGCAGCTCCGGCATTTCTGCATCACGGGACCACATTGACTCGTCCGATGCCGAACACGAACTTCTCACTTCCCCAGAAGATGGCCAGGATCCCGCGGATGATCTGCCCAACATATACGCTGCGGCCGATGGAACCGCACGCGCCGACTTTTTCACTAGCGAAATTTCCATCAAAAGCGGCGAGGAACATTCAGTCTTCGACGCCGACGGGTCTACAATCATCGTCCATGAGAAACCCGACACTTACGCCGAAGACATGCCCGACATGGGAAGCCAGGTAGCGTGTGGAGTGATCATCGTTGATCCACCGAAGAAGTCGCGTATGTAGCCCGGACCTGCACTGGTGAGTACGTCCGAAGTCAGGAAAAAATTGGGGCACTTTTGACCCGAACTCCGATTGACCGATGCTTTGGGCCGGAGTATATTACCAATGTGAATATTAGCTGGCACCCCACCACCCCATGTTGCACCTGTCCGCCCACATAGGTGGGTAGAATTTGTTGCGCCACCAAGATGGCGCAACCAGATAGACACGATAGCCCGCCGATGAAAAGCAAAGTCGGCGGGTTTTATTTTGTGAAATTTTACGCGATATATTTAGGAGGGTAACTTGAGTAGCCAGACCTCTAGACAGCAGCGCACCCTGGAGGACATCCATAGTGACAGCTTGGAACTGGCCAGGTCGTCAGATGCAATCATACCGTTCATGGACGAAGAGGTGGTGCGGCTTGAGGAGGAATCCGCGAGGTTTACGTCAGGCGAACAGGACAATGCCACCTTTACCCCCTTCCGGCTGAGGCAGGGCGTCTACGGTCAGCGTCAGGCGGACGTGCAAATGATTCGGGTCAAGATCCCGGGCGGCATACTGACCCCGGAGTCGATGGAAGGCTTTGGCGAGGTCTCCGAACGCTACGCACCACTGGGTAAGGGCCACATCACCACTCGAGAGAACGTGCAGTTCCACCACATCCCGTTGCCCGAGTGTCCCGATGTGCTGCGGCTCTTGGGCAAGGTGGGGCTGAGCACCCGCGAGGCCTGTGGCAATACGGTCCGCAACGTGGTCGGCTCCCCATACGCCGGCGTCGACCCCGAAGAGGTCTTTGACCCCACGCCATACTTGGCGGCATACGTGCGGTTCGGCGTACGGCACCCCATCACTCAAGGCTTTCCCCGCAAGTTCAAGTCGGCCTTCACTGGCACCGACGCCCGCGACCACGTTTCGGCGGCCATCCAGGACCTGACCTACGTATCGCAGATTCGCGTGGTGGACGGCAAGGAGCAACGAGGCTTCAAGGTGTTCGTCGGTGGCGGCACCTCTATCATGCCCAGGCTGGCCAAGCCCCTGTACGAGTTCGTATCGGTTGTCGACTACCTGCGGGTGGCCCTTGCCATCTGGACGGTGTTCAACAACGCCGACACGCTGCGGAAGAACCGCATGATGGCGCGCCTCAAGGTGCTCATCGACCGCATCGGCCTCGACGAGTTCCGCACCATGGTGGACGCCGAGCTGGAAAAGATCGGGCCGATCGACCCGACTCCCTACATGGAAGTGGACGAACTGCTGCGCGAGACGCCGCCGCCGGCCGTAAGCGGCAACGGCGCCGGCGCCTCCGAGGAGTTCAAGAAGTGGGAAGGAGACCAACGCTGAGGCGCAGCGTCAGGAAGGCTACTACTCCGTGATGGTCAAACCGGAGCGCGGCGACCTCGACGGTCCGCAGTTCCGGGCCCTGGCCGACATCATGCGCAAGTACACCGGCGGCCGTGCCCGGGCAACGCAGGAACAGAACCTCGTGCTGCGGTTCATTCACGAGAGTTCGCTTCACGCCGTATGGGAAGCCCTGGACAGCATTGGCCTCGCCGAACCGGACTCGCGGTCCATCACCAACGTGGTCTCGTGCCCCGGCACCGACAGCTGCAAGCTGGGCATCACCTCGTCCATGGGCCTGGCGAAGGCGCTCCGGGATGAGATGGACGAATGGAGCGGCGACCTGATGGACGACCAGGGCGTGAAGGACATCCGCATCAAGATGTCCGGCTGCCCCAACGGTTGCGGCCTGCACCACATCGCAAACATCGGCTTCCACGGCGCTGCACTCAAGGGCCCCGACGGTCAGCAGGTACCGGCCTACGAGCTGTTCCTGGGCGGCAACTACGGGGACAACCGGGTCGAGGATTCCCGAGTCGGTACTCGCATCCCGAGGGTGAAGGTCCCGGCGAAGGCGGCGCCCAGCGTCCTCAAGACCATTGTTAGCTATTACAAGGACAACCGCGCCGACAAGACGGAAAAGTTCAACCAGTTCCTCGACCGTGTGGGATTGGAGCAGTTGACCGAGGTCGCCATCGCCGCCGAGGAATCGGCCAAGGAGGCGGCCCCCGGCTCCGACATGTATGTCGACTGGGAGCGAACCAACATCTACAAGCTGGAGCGCGGCGAAGGCGAGTGCGCCGTTTAGCTCGCAGATCTTGACTAAACCAGGGATCAGTTGCAGTTAACTCTTTTCGGTCCGTTCGTCCTACACAGCGTAGCGAGGGCGAACGGACTGCTTTTCATCAACTCCCACAGAAATAAGGAGGCGGATTGGCAGCGTCGCTTAATGGCAGGGTCGTAGCCTACGTCGAGGCAAGGATGCAGTCGGAAATGGGTGCCCTGGTGGAACGGCACGGAGGAGTGCCTTTCGCCGCCCCGGTGCTGCAGGAGGTCTACAACACTGACACGCCGGAGGTCGCCGGCCTGATCGATGATCTGTGCGCGGGCCGGGTGGACATCGCCGTGCTGCAGACCGGCGTGGGAACCCGCGCCCTGTTCGGCGCCGCCGACGAGGTGGGAAGGATGCAGGAGTTGCTGGCGGCGCTGGAGCGAGTCACGGTCATCGCCCGCAGCCCCAAGCCCGCATCCTTGCTGCGCCGCAACAAGGTCCGCATCGACCTGATGCCGCCGGAACCGTTTACCTCGGAGGACCTGATCGCTTGCGTCTCGGAGATGGAATTCACGGGAAGCGAGGTGGCGGTGCAGGCTTACGGCGGGCCCAACAACCTGCTGACCAGAACTCTGAGAGATCGGGGGGCCAACGTCCGCGAGGTCTCGCTCTACAGTTGGGGACTGCCCGAAGACCTGTCACCCGTCGTGGATCTGATTCAAAGGATGGAGGCCGGAGAAATCGACTCAGTGGCTTCACCAGCCAGCCCCAGGTCCCCAACCTGCTGGCCATCGCCGCGCAATCGGGCCTCGAGGATACCCTGCGCAACTGCCTTAACTCAGACGGTGTCGCCGTCGCATCGGTGGGGCCGGTGTGCACGCGCCGCCTGCTGCAGAACGATCTGAAGGTGGACGTGGAGCCCGACCATCCTCACATGGGCAACCTGGTGATCGCACTGGCCGAGCACTTCCAGAGACAGGCGCAGCCAGCGGCCGGAGACTGACTGACGCGCAGAGGCCTGTGCTACCTACCGCGTCAGCGACCCGAAGGGTCGTCAGGATCGATGGAGCGTCCGCGCCACATCCTCTGTCTAGGCGTTCCGCTAACGCTCTGACTTCCGCGAGGGGAGCGATAGTACATTACGTAACCTGCTACGAGCAGCGCGACACCGGCAAAGAAAAAGTATAGCCAATAGAATATCGCGCCGATCGCTATCAGACCAATCCCGAGTGAGAGCGAGGAGAGGTATGTGGTCGGGTCAGGGAGGCCGAAGAAGAGGCGGAGGATCGGTCTCGGCGAGACGCGGACACGCGGTGAACGTCGAGAGATGGACGAGCAAAACGTACTGCGTTCCGACCGAGCTGAGGACGGCGCATCTCCTCCTCGCTCTTCGAGGATATCTCCTAAATTTCCTTTCGTAACGCTGTCGGCTCAGTACATTCGCCGTCCACACCAAAATGCGCATCGCCAGACCGAAGAATGTCCTCTTCTAGATGTCTACTCCATGTAGACGCAGATTGGACTAGGCAAATGCCCAAACAGTGGCCCTCTATCAAAAAGCGAGGGAGGAGCGCACTTCGCATCGGAGTGGCCAGCGGCCGACTACCGAAACGGCCGGAGAGATGTACGCATCGTCCGCTCGTCCTCGGGGTTGGTGAATATCTTGCTGCTTAGAGAAAATCCACCAGGAAAAAGGGCCTAATGCGCGTCGTTCGCTAGCAGGGAAAGCAGTTCTGTGAGACCAGCGGGGCCGCTGACTGCATGTGGTTGTGGGTGACGATAACGATCGAGTACTTGCTCGCCAATCTAGTCAATCAGTGCTAGATGGGCCAGCGTGGCGATGGGGGTCGAGGGCGGAGCAGGGCTCGTCCATAAGGATCACACTGGGCTACACGCCAGGTCCCGCGCGTGCAGAGGAGCTGCTGCTGGCCGCCCGACAGGGCCGGGCACTGGCTGTTCAGGCCGGGTCTTCACCTCTCCCACAGGGCTGCGCCCACCAGGTAGCGCTCACAGCTCGGTCATGTTGCCGTAGGAAAGCCGTTGAGGCGTGGCCCAGAATGCCCGTTGTCATAGATCAGACGTGGGGAACGGGATTGGCCGATGGAATACCATGCCCACCAGGACCGTGATATCTGTTGGGGTCGACCTCCGGACAGTAGACTGTTCCGGCCCTGAAGATGACCGGACGGTTGTGGGAAGGAGTGGCACCAGTCGTTAATCCGGTTGAAGAGCTGCGAGGCAACGTGCTCTCTGCCAATCCCGAAGGCCCGATGATGGCGGATCTGGTGGCGAGGAACGTGTATATGCTGGATCGTTGATCTGACAGCGGTGGCGTGTGTAGAAGACGCTTCAGGTCTCGGCCTTTTGATCGTGTCGGTGACGACTCTTTTTCACCCCGTTGCACGGCATAACTCTTACCGTCGATTGAGAATTGTTCCGCAGGGAAAACAGCCAGCCGTCATCAGGAGGAGAACCACCCCGCCGCACAATAATGCAGCAGGCAGCAGGCAGCGTGGACCCCTACTGGGGCACGCGACGCGACACCACAGTTGAAGATCTGGATGGGCAGCACGGTGAACTGCTGAGGGGGGACCGTCGGGGCGAAAGGCACGAAGGTCAGGGGACCATGACGATCAGTGGTAGCAGTCTCGCCTACGGCCGGCTGACCGCCGAGGATGACTCCGTCAGGATGCGGGAAACGCTTTCTGGGGAAGGACAGACGGCAGGACTCACCACATGCGAGGGCTCAGGGAGTAGACGAAGTAAATGGACGAAACTAATCCGAAACAGCCCCTCCCCGCAGCGAGCTTGGGAAAGGCGGACGGATGCCTCGTGGAGGCCACGATGATGATGGCAACACCAGCAGGGCAAGCGTGAGCACACGACAGCGAGGCGCTGCGGCAGCTCCATCATGAGGTACGAAATATTTCACTAGCCAAACGCAGGCTAGTACTCGTAACCAAGCGAGGGCACGCACGAAAGGTTGGGGCATTGTGATAGGGCCACCAGGCGGAAACTTGCATGCGCTGGGCGTACTCCTCGAGGGACACCGCCGCCTAGCCCCCCCAAGCACGAACGACACGATGGCAAAGTATGCCGACAACGTAAGTGCTTCCTGAGGAGGCGGCGTAGATGCCTGGCTTCGAAGGGTGACGCGAGGGGAAGGAAGTCAGGAAACAAAGAGTTGACCAGGCGTATCAGTGGACCGGAGTGGGAACAGCAGGCTGCGCGAGCATGCTGAGGAGACCAGCACCGCTACCAGGCACAAGCCGGTATAAAAGACCTTGCCCATGTATGTTCCGCGATGATTG